TAACTGCATTGGCTAAGCACATGCTGAACTGTACAGCATAATACTGCAGTATTGTACAGTATACAGTACTGTACCTGCAGTGTCTATATATGCCAAACTAATTGTAAACTTAAATGATAATTTTACTGAAGATAATATCATTATTATTATTATTACAGCAGAAAACATGTTTAAGACTAAATTTCTAATTTTTAATTAGTTTATAAGTTAAGTTCTTATGGAATCTCCTTTACCTTTCAATAGTAATAAACGTGACAAAGAAGCCTGGTCTAAAAAAAAAAATAATGTCCATTGTTGAAACCTTCCAGAATATTACAGTAACACTACCTTATAAGTGATAAAACCATTTTAATTTTGTATGCTACTTCGCCACCAAAGATTCCTAAACTTACTGAAAGTCCGTTTTTTTTTAACATATATGTATTTAGGAAGGAAACCTTTACCTGCTTTTTGGGGAATCCAGGAAAAGGTTGGGATAGTGGGTCATACAACTGGCCCAGCTGTTGTATGACTCACTCCTGGCAGGACTGAACGAACTGGCTATATCCATGTTTTTATAGTTAATTAATCATGCCAAGAGGAAGGCAAACTCATCAGCAGACACGCAGCCAAGTATAACTTAAAAAGACAACAGAATTCCATCTACAGTAGTTAGTTAGTACAGTAGTTTATTTTACTATGTCCAAAAGGTAGCAAACTTGAGGAAACAAGAGAATTTCATTTAAGCAACAGATTCATAGGTGTAGGAAGATATTTTACTTACCGGTATGTGCTTACACCCCAGAAGAGTCTTCATGTTGTAATTTTGGTGGGCAGCTTCCACTCCCAAAAGTGGAATTTCCTCATAAAAAAATAATGCATCAAAATGGTGGGAGGGTGGGCAGTCATGCTAAGGTCAAATTCATCTATAACCCAACATATGAAGATTTTTATATAAAACAATTTGCACTGGCCCTGACATCCCTTTGGAAACCCTGTAGGCATGAATACCATTTTTTTTCTTTTAGTGAATTATTGTGATGCAAGTAAATTTCTAGGACTTAATACTGTACAGTATATTGAGCAACAAGCTTTGAAATTGAAAAAAAGGAGGAAAATAGTAAACAACTGATTTTGTTAAATGTATTTTATTCTTACTTTACTTATAAACTTTGGAACTGGTGGCAAAAAATATTGAGTCAGGAGGGTTACCAGATCCTTTTTTTTAGGCATGAATGCATCTACAGGAGATATAAGGAGATGAAAGTAGAATAGAAAATTTAAGTTATAAAGCAAAATAAATATATCTACATTTGTTAAGTTAAAGCGCCAACATCAATGAAAATTTTGATAAACAGGCAGTCTCCGATTTACAAAGATTGTTTTACGAAAATCCTAACACCTCCCCCCCCTCCCTCAAAAGAAAACCTGTACATACACAAAATCCAAGGTGAGGAAGGATTTTTTTTTTTTTTTTAGTAATTCTTTCATGGCATTTGAAGATGCTGATGTGCTGACAAAGATATCCCAAGGCTTCCCATACAGTACACTAGTACAGTACTGTACAGTAAAACCCCCATGATGAGATTTTACAAAATATGAGGGACACCTCCCAAGGTTTGGGGGGGAGGGTGGCACCGGTACTTTTGTTATCTGCCCCAATTAAAATTTGAATGTTTCTAAGTACTGTACAGTACCTCTGTACCAGATTCAGGTGCTTGGTCTATGGTTATCAGATACAAAAGTTCGAACACTGGGCAATGATGGAAAAACAAGTGGAAATAAGCTTGCACGGTACACAGTAGATGTACACTCCATGACTGACCAATATGAACTGACTGTGACAAACACACGAAACACATATATTTCTTCTTTACAATGAGGCGGACGGTCAGATCCCATGATGACATGTGCGTCATTATATTGTACAGTATACAGTATTCGTAAATGTCTATAATAATCCAAACAATTTCCAAATTTTACGAAATTTATAATACCTGTATATATACAGTAAGATCTTGTATTTTGCGAGTAATATAGACTGGAAAAATTGTCCCAAACTCAAAATTGCGTCAAATGCAAATACATAAACTAATGGGAAAAATAACAATTTAGACTGGCCACTCTACATCAACCTCTGATTTTCCCATTTATAACCTCCAAATGATACAAATTCTGCCTTTATTGACTTGATTGTGCTTTCCGGAAACTAGTTTTTAGGCCTTCCTCAAGTAATTTAATCACACGCTGCTTATCCTGCATCGAGTACTTGGCAAACTTAACTCTCTTTATGATAGTCCCACTTCTCTTTTTCCTTATTTGGCCGCTTAGGTGGGTCTGTCACACCCCCAGTAGAGGTAGAGGCCATTATCTTGACTCGACAGATGGTAGCACCACCCAAAAAAGCACACAATGACAGCCGGGCGGTCGCTAGGATGGCCCGGGCTACAACACGATAGTTGCGTTCTTGTAAACCTCTTTTAAGTTCACCACCGGCAATTCGATCACCAGAACGCTTCTTGGAAACATTCTTCTTACCTTGTCTTTCCGTATTCATCGTTAACACAACAAAATTGGAGAAAATAGCGAAAATCACCGAGTAATTGACAGAAACCGCATGATTCAATTGATCACGTGATGTAAACAGAGAGAGCTGGTGTAAACCGTTATTAGTCCTCACTGCGAAACATTCTTTTTACTTATTTTTTTTCATACAGTATTTATGGGTAACAGCTAAATTTGAATTTTTTTTTTTACAGAATTCCTCTCAAAAAACACTTCATAAACAAAAGACACGAATCAATTGAACATGTAATGTCGAATGTGAACTGTAAACATTGCATAACACCGCACCACGCTTAAAACGTTGAGGATGGAATAAAAACATTGAGAATGGAATCGCGCTATAGCCAACATTCGTATGCCAAAGTTTGCATTTTACAAACAGCGTTCCCCTATTCATCAATCGCGTTGCAACCAATTCACGTTAACAAAACGCGTGTTGTAGCAGAAATGACTGTAAATGGTATGAGGGCTGTGACGTCATTCAAGACGGTGGTCAGCATTCAGCTTGCTGAATCTCGCATTCAGCTGGCTGGATCTCGCAAAATTCACGATATTTTACGCCAAATATAAGACTTGTTTACATTAGGTAGTTCTCCCGAAATTAATAAACGCGAAATGAAATCGCGCGAATTAGGAGATCTTACTGTACAGTATTTTGTAGCAGCAAAACAGTTTGAATTATGAGTGATTTCGAATTAGAAGGGTAAAAATTATGTGTTTTTTTACTGTACTGTAGTGTTTTTGTTATTATAGCTCACAGGATCACTACGTGAAGCAGTGGCAAGATGCTGACTCAAGATATTTTGACTGTGGGAATGCTGAAGTGTTTAGTATCCCAGAGTTTGATCTGATGTCAATGGAAAGAAAAAATGTTACATGGATAAGTTTAGCTACATTAAAAATCAAATCCAGTGAAAGTAAAACACCTCATAATGTATATACTGTACAGTACATACAGTGCAATTTGCTTACTGTTGGTGCAAAGTTGCATTGCAAAACAACCAGTGGAACAGTTTCTTAGTAATTACCATGTCCTCCACTGTATGTAGGGTATGTCAATTAAAATGTTTATTTTTGGCTTATAATTATTGTATGCACCAAAAATTTTAATTAAAAAGATGTTATGTAGCTCTTCAAGACATTATGAGGAAGGTTTTTCTTTTGTAGGATTGTATCTCAGCCTTTATAATGGGAGTTTATGGAAAAATGTGATCTGATTTATGAAAAATCTATTTATGAAAGGTTTTCGGGAAAAGAGGCCTTTTGTAAATAGTGGAATGCCTGTACAGTAAGTCCTCGCTTAACATCGTGGTTCCGTTCCTGAAAACCGCGACGTTAAAACGGAATCAATTTTCCCCATAAGAAATAGATAAAATAAGGGAGTTATGTTCCCCAGCCTCCCTTTGCCCTATAAAATACATTACATATACATAAATTCAATGGAATTTTTTAGAAAATAGTATATATTACACATCCAAAAAGATAAAGAAACTAAATAATTTTGTATTGTACTCATTGATGGGCAGAGGTGGAGCGAGTGTGTTGTGGGTGGTGGAGAGGAGGAGGGTGCGAGTCACTGAGACCTGGTTTAAACCTCCATTTTCGTAGCATGGCTAATGGTCTTGCATTGCTTCTTCACAACACTAGCATCACTAACACTTGATGGGCGCCGGGAAGCCATTTCGAATGGTTACAGTACAGTATTTTGAGCAAAAACACTTAAACACGCACAAACGCAGTGGAAGCCTAAAAAAGACTGGGGACGCTGTGATGCTCCGCGAGAGAGTGTAGCGCACCAAGATGAGAGACGGTGATGTGCCGTACAAAGTAGTCCGTGACGACGTTATACCAAATCGGCGGGACATTGCCCGAATCATGGGTATCTAAAGAGTAGCGACATAACGAAACAATGTTGTGGGGGGGCAACGTTAAACAAGGACTTACTGTACTAATCTTTGTAAAGCAGAATTTCAGTTATCCAGTATTAAGGCAGCTGGTATATTCAACTAACCAGCACCAAAATGAAATACTATTAATAAAATAAAAATTCCTCCAAAATCAGCTAGAATCGTAAGTTTGAATACCACGCACAATGGGGATGAGCTGCCATATTTATTGCTATGATAAACAATAAAATTGATACATAGCATTACATAAAATAAAATAGCACAGGTTGAGAAGTCACAAGTCCAGAAAACTGAGGGCAAATTTTTTCGGGGTGAAAATTGTGAACTCCTGGAACAACCTGCCAGTGTGTTGTGACAGCACTGAGTGTGAGCTGTTTCAAGACCAGACTTGACCAACATTGGAGCAGATTCAGATATACATTCAGGAGCCAGTGTATGCCCAGCACTTACCAACAGTATGTAACAGAGACATGACCGACCGCCCAAGCAGCTAATGAGCCGATCAGTGGCGAAGAGGATAAAAGTAAAGTAAAAGTATATTTTATGTAAAAAAATCTAAAAAAAAAAAAAAAAAAGCTCCTTCCACATTCAAACCATCCTCTGGGCAACGCAACCCACTTCAGCCCAGTTGAATCACAGATGTGTGGCTGCCGCTCTGTTTGTCTCTGTGTTATGATGTCTTATTTTATAGTTTTATACTGTATTATATTTTCTAAGTAAGCATAGTTCACTTCCCACACATGCACACCTTTGCTCTAAATTTTTCTTATTTATAGTTTTGTTATATTTTCTTTATATCTAAGCCACATCATTTATATACACTATAGTGGTATAAGTGTTAAAGAAGTCCATTTTTATGAGACTAATTTGCGAGGTCAGTCTACAGGTATAGCACTGTGCATTGTATGATTTATTGGGGGATCTTAAGAGTATTTTCAAATAACCGGAAAAAAGTTTATCTGGCACCTCTCAATCCCTGAAGCTGCCGGATAGCTGGGATTCTACTGTACATAAATGATACTACTAGTATTAAAAAACAGAAGTTATGATTTAATATAATCATCTGTTCACCTTTCACAAATTTTCGTGTAAAATAGAAAACTGCAAAAAAGAGATTAAATATAAATTCAGTAACAATATAAAATAAAAAACAAAAACAATATACAGTAAATATAAATAAAAGTCAAGATAAATACCCACCATAGACATTAACCCATATGGAACAAAGTTCTGGTTGCAATTTCACATACAAATGTATTTTCGAGAAAGATGACTAGCTGCAACAGTTTTAATGCTTATGTGACTAAAAGAAATATCCATTCATCTGAGTCTACAATCAGTGTGCCAGATCTAATGTTAAAAGCAGAGGAGTAAATGCAATCATTCCTGGATTCAACAGAGGCAGGATCACGTTAAAACTTTACACACAAAAAAATCCTTCAAAGGGATTATCATTCTACGACAACGTATACTGCACAGAATATGCATACCATGATATCTACTGCATAGTATCACGTTCTGGGCTGGCAATGTTCTTACAGTATTTAGAATTAGGAAATTTATTTTTAATATACTGTACATATGTCAACCAAGTAACTACAAGTCAAGAAGATTTTGTAAATACAGTACTGTACTTCATTAAATTTACATCTCTTAAACAAATACCCGACATGTACAAATGGCACGTACAATATTACAACTAGGTACACCACCTGACAGATGCAGACTGCATAAATTATGACTCTGTGCCTTCAACAGGAGAAACTACATAAACATGGTATATGTGTTCGCCTGGTGAGTCAGGTGCTCCTGTGGCCATAACAAGCACATTAGATGTTCCAGGAGGTAACACAGGTACAGGCACACTCTTCTGCCCATCTGCTGTTGGTACCAGAATGGTCTGACGCCCATCATCCTGTGTCTGAATTGCAGACACCGGAAAGTGCCACACCTTTTGGTTGTTTTCAGTCTCTGTAAAAATAAAAATACATTATACCATACAAAATATTCTGGGGTTGATTATTGACAATAATGGATATGAATTTCAATTTAATTTTACATTCCTAAAGCACAATACAGGAGGTCCCTGGGTCAGGTGCGTCCGACTTACAAACTCGCCGATACGAACAAGGTCCCATAAAATTAAACCTTAAATTTACAGTTTATTATATACTGTATATATTTTTTTTACAGAGATTCGCGCACCCAGGCACATTAGACAACACAGTAGTACCTCTCTGTTTGATAGCTGCTTACTACCTATTACCTTTATCTGTTGACATTTTTTACTTTCATTTACTGCATTTTGTCATTCTATTTGTTCTTTAAAATAAGTGATTTTAGATGTACAGTACTGTATACTGTATATGTATAAGGACTTAAGCTATGAAATAGTGGGACTTTAAACATGGTACTGTAAGTACAGTATGCAAAAAGGGTGTTTTGACTTAAGTACATTTTGACTTAAAAGCGTCGTCAGTAGGAATGGAACTTGTACGTAACCCGGAGATTGCCTGCACTATGATTACAGCATAAATAAAAAATATAATAAAATAAAATAAATAAATAGAACAAAACAACATATTACTGTGCTGTACATGATAATGCATCTGATGTACCATATGCAATATAATAATGAAAACTTTACCACTCACTAGGTGTGGCCTCAGATATGGAAGGGTTAGTATCAACATTATCTTCATCCTTTTCTACATTTTCTGCAACTGTCTTCTCCGGGGTGCATTCATTCCTGGACTGGCTTGACATATCATACTTTACAGTTTCCATGGTAACTGTCACTTCACTTATCACAAGAGAGTTCCTAAAATAATAATAAAAAAACCTGATAATGAAACATTACATGGACTCACACTGAATCACAAGCAATAAATATTTATAAATACTTATTAAATTTTAGCATATCAATAATCTTCCATGCAAAACCACATGGCTCCTCTTAATAAAAGTCTCAATAACTCCTGATAAAAGCTAAGGAATATTTTCTTACATTATGATCATTTTTATAACAGCCTTGAAAAATTCCCTTATTATTTCTCCTCTTTGCTTAAGGATTTTTGTTCCCTTTTCCCAACCTACACAAAACTGAGAGATAGAAAGGTCACTATTGGAGTTCTAAAAACTTTTCAGAATTTGAGATATTCTCAAGCCCCTGTATGGTACTGTTGAGATAGTGGTGTTTTCAGCACACCACTATCTCAACAGGTGGGTAATTCAGAAAGTTAAAAAAAAGAGCAAACCCAATTTGCCTCTTCTACCTTTTAGCTGTATTTAAGTTATTTTTTTTGTTATCTCTAAGAGAAAACTACCATAAATGTTTTCACACAAAGACAAATGGTACATAGAGCAAAATTTAGTTGTACAGTCTTGTATACTGTATGAAATGAAGAGAATAGTAACACCACATATAATGCAATACTATTAACTACAATGATCAGGGTGTTTGACTAGCAATTATGACTCCCATGTCACACTTAAATAACCTTCATCTTCCTATGTATAACACTGGTGCTGTACTGGTTTGGCACAATTGCCATTTCACATTCAAGTTCCTTAGTTTTTCCAACAATAAATCTGGTACAGTACTTGAATTGACTTCAGTATTTAATGCCCAGCTCTCCACTTATTTATTCATATAATGTGGTATTGATGGGTGATGCTAGTTTGTTTGAAGCGACTGGGATAAACCAGATCTGGAGATTTGTTGTGGCAGGGAGTTCTATAGCAAAGCACATAATAAATAACATTGAATTAGGAAAAATGTGAGAGCATTATCTTAAGTAACAATAATACCAAAACACACTAACCTTTCCTCCAATTGTCGTTTTTTAGCTGGCCGTTTTACTTTTCCCTTCTTTTTATTAATTTTGTTTTCACCATTAGAACATTTTTGTACTGAGGAGATATGTTCACCTTCAGTATCAGAATGGCCCAAACCCTGGTCCTCACAATCTGAACTCTCTTTATGTCCATTTTCATCAGCATCTGTAAATGAAAGATAACTTTTGACTTATAGCTAACAAATAACAGTGTTCTGTTTTCTTAACCACCTCAACCCAGCTGAAAGATGTACAGTACCTCTGTCTATAATCTTAATCCACTGCCCAACCAGATGAACTAACTCTGTCTATACAATATTTCTATCCCTCAACCTCAACTGAATATTAACTTTATTATCTAAATTCTCATCACTCAATCATTTTTCTTTCCTGCCAAAGTGAAATAGGTGTGTCTTGTCTCAGTAATGGCATGGACCAAGTGCATCTAACCTCATTAATAGGGTGGAACAGGTGCACCCAACCTCACTAATAGGGTGGATCAGGTGTACCCAACCTCACTAATTGGATGAAACAGGTAAACCCACCCCCCTTAATTGGGTGGAACAGGTGCACCCAACCTCACTAAAAGGATGAAACAGGTACACCCACCCTCTTTAATTGGGTGGAACATGCACCCAACCTCACTGATAGGGTGAAACAGGTCAAGTGAGAGAATGAAGTATCTGCACAGCTTTGGCTGAAGTATAATGAAACCTGATTACCCAACATGGTGTCACTGGCGACCCCTTTCCAAGGTTCCACAGGCCTGCCAGCCATTTATGGGTTCCACACATGGGTGTGTCGAATGGCTAAACTGTTCTGTGATGTATTCGTCAAAACCCCGGGAAGATACTTCATTCTCTTACTGTACACATTGGTGTCTCCAGGAATATCAAAATTGGGGTCCTAGAAGTTGAAGGTGGGGGAACATGGCGAGCGGGGCGAGCCCACCCAGCTGGGGGTTTTGGAGAAGCTGTAAGCACCCCCCCACCCCCCGATTTTTTTTTTTAATCTGACAAATATCATGGGCATTTTGAGGCCATTTTGAAGCCATGCACACTCGATATTAAGGGATTCTGAAGTCAATAGTAAATACTTTTTACTATACAAAAATGCCTGAGTACAATTACTGCATTAACAAAAGTATTGGAATTTTCTGGTGAAAAGGGGGGACCCCCCCCCCCTGGTTCTGCTCTTGGTACACCCACCCTCATTAATAGGGTGGAACAAGTACTGTACACTAATTAGATAAACAACAAACCTTTTCTCTTAATTTTTTTCCTCTTGCGTTCTCTTCTCAACACTCTCTTGCGTGTCTTGATTTTTGCTTGTTCTCCCTTTCTCTTGGTCTTTTTCTCTTGCTTCTCTCGCTCCTTTTCAGACTGCTTCATCTCTAGACGCTTACGTTTAGCCTCTGCTCTCTCTGCCATCCTCGTGGCCTTCCTATCCTCTTCTGGGTCATAGTCTGTAGCAGTAATGACATCACTTAACCAATTCTATTAAGTAGTGTTTCATGAACATTTAACCATATTACAGTACTTATGATATAGTACCATGAGTAGGATGGTGATATAAATATATATATATATATGCGGTATACAGAAACACTATATCTGACAGCCAGAACAATTGGTGCAGAACATTTTTGTGTTATAAAGATTTTTAGGCACAGAAACAAATCCTTATCCCCAGAAAAAATCACATATTTACTGAACTTTGCTGGGCACTGGTGAATGTTTCTGAGTCTAAACTACAAGTACTCTGTCCTAGTCTTTCTAAAAAGTGGTGTAGCCAAGTGATCTACTGCAGATGCATGCAAGATAAGTTATTATCCACCATAAAACATATAATACTGTACTGTATTGCCTGAAATGTGAAATGCCACTTACCAGATTCATCATCAAATAAGGATAAGTCAAACTGCGTGCAGTCCTTCAGGGCTCGGTCCACCAATTCCCGGTTAATCCTCTCCTCCTTTTTAAATTTTGTCTTCAGTTCAGCTCGTGATCTCCAGGTAAAAAGAGCTTCCATTAGTGAAAAATCTGTGCCAACTGTGGATAATGCCTTATAAAAACGAGCAGTTTCTTTTAAAGTCCATTCACTGGAGCGATGACGTTTCTTACTCCATTTGCTATGAGATGACTCGTTACTCTCTTCAACCACTTCAGTTTTGCTTAAGATTTCATCACGATTTTTAGCAGCAGTTGTTTGAATTTTAATACTTTGCTCATCCAAGATAATTTGGCCATTGGGACCAATTTTAACTCTTGGAGTAAATATATCCTCTGCGGGTGTTTCTTCTTCTCCTGCTGCTGCGGCTTCTTCCTCTTCTTCATCATCCTTGGCTTGTGGTGATGGAGGTTGTGAAGGCTCCTTACCTTCTTGGTCTTCATCAGGCGAATTTGGTCTAGACTGCGGTGCTGGCTCAACTGTGTCTAGCCCCAAGTCATCAACTTTTTGTTCCTCTATAACATCAGACGTGGTACTCTCTGTTTCACTTTTACTTGTGAGGCGTGCTTTCTTTTTGAGGACTTCTGATCGACCCGGCATAGGATTGGTGGCTGGATTCCAGAATATGAGATCAAACATGGTCATACTACTACGTTCTAATGCTCCTTTTACCATTTTCTTTCTATATGTTTCTTTTCTTTCTCTAAAAATTTGCTTCTCTGTCTTTTCCTTCGATTCATCTTGTGATAACCCTTTATCACTTTTGGCACTTATTTTTGCACTCTTTCCAGTTTTTATAAATGTTTTTCTGGGACCAACAACTGATGATGACTTAGCTTTTGTCTTTTGCACGCCAAATGATTTACTCCTCTCTTTTATTGGTGATTCTTTCTTCACTGCTTGAGAACTACTGAACAGAATTTTGGAATTTTCCTTGTCTCCACAACTATCATCACTATTACTGTTATCCTCAATTATTTCTACTCCTCCTTGTTCTTCTCTATCTACATTATTTTTCTTTCTTTTCATTTTTTTTCCTACTATGTTACAGTCCTTCTTTTCAACCCCAATATCTGTCTTTTTTTTAGGCTTTTCTGGCCCATTCTCACCAACTTCACAAAGTTTCTGCATCTGGTTAATTTCTACTTTAAGAGACTGACTTGGTTCTGTCCCATTACAAGAATCAACAAGTGACTTCTCTCTGACACAATCAGGCTCAGTAATAGTAATTTCCTCATTACATTTATCTGCTTGTCTTCTAGATTTCCCTGATATTGAATGAGCAACTGGACTGTCTGCATTAACTATTTCTACTTTTTCCTCCTGAATATCACCAGCCTTCTTGACCATCTTCCTCTTGGCCAGTAAGGTAGGTGCTGCACGTATTTTTGATCTCCTTTTACAAGTTCCACTTATTGCTGTAGAGCTACTGTCTATAGTGCTAGCTACCGTGCCCTGACTATCTTCACTAAACCTTGATCCTCTACTTTCTCCTGCAGTACACGTCTGACTTTCATCTACTGAAACAAGGATCTCACTTTTCTTTGCATCACCTTCATTTTCACTTTCCTTTGCCAAAGATTTTCTACTTTCTTTAGTAGTTTGAAAAGGTTTATTTTTGTCTTTTAAGTCAATCTGTGTCTTTGTTGAGGGAATTGGGAACTGAATTTCATTATTATCATTTACAGTATCCATTCTTGCTGTATGCTCTCTTTTTTCAGTGGCTGTCTTCATTTCTAAATCTTTTTCCTTCTCACTCAGCAAGTAAGGCTTACTGTCTTGTTCATCAATACCACATGCTAAATTTTCCTCACAAGTATTTTGTTCTTGTTGATCTTTTGGTCTATCACCTAAACACTCAACTTCAACATCAAACTTCTCTCTTTTAATTTGAGCACCGACATTACCTGTACTTGTACTTGGCTTCTCCACAACACTTCCTTTCCTAAAGCTGCTAACCATGGGCATAACCTTCAGCTTTTTCCTTCGAGTACTTGATAATGGTTTATTTTCTGATACTTTCTGTAATGCCTCTGAAGGTTCACTTTGTAACATCAATTTAACAGGTGGTTTTATGGCTTTCTTCACTGCTGGGCTTGTTAGAGGCATTACACTGTGTGATGGCTGGAGTGGCCCCTGTGAAGAAGCAGAAGATGAAGCTTTCAATTTTAGTGAAGTCTGAGAGGGTAGGGATGAGAATACTTGTGACTTCTGCGGAGATTTGATTATGTCCTTTAATGGAGGTGTGTTGCTCGGAAAAGAGGATGAAAGCGGTGTAGATCCCTCGTCAAGTGCATCTATCATCAGATCCACCGGAACTGCAGAGTTTGAAAATACCTGTTGGTTGCCTGGTGTCACAATATTAACATTTGCAATGGGTTTTTCTTCAGTTGGGCCCATTACATTTTCCTGAAAACAAAAGTAAATATTGTAAGTCATCTTCTCCTGGTGCAGTAAACAAGAAGCACTGAAAAGACAAAGGAAGGAGGAAAAAGATATATGAATATAATATTATTTTTAAAAACTATCAGCCTTTTCCCACCATAATGCAGGATGGCTGGAATTAGCCCCTTGTGTACAGGGTTTAGGACCATATTGGCCCCTCGGTGCAAAGAGGTTAACTTCAGTACCTGTATACTGTACTGTATATACAGTTGGCACTTTAAACATTATATTTACACACCAAAGTTGGGAATAGTAATACTAGAATCCTCTTGTTAGCCGGAATCTTCAATTCCCAGAACTCTCCCAGAGCCAGAATTTTCTTTTGCATTCCAAGAAATTCCAGGAAAAATATTTTCATCCTAGCATTGGAAACGAATTTACAAAGATTGCATCATGCACATTTCCTGAAAATTATAAGAAAATCTCTCTGTTCCTGGCATGGGAACTAATTTTGCAGGAGTTCCGAGAGATTGCATCATGTTCTGACACATCCCCACGTGCTGGGCGTTAACTTAGGCAGCAGGCTTGTGCGCTGTGATTAGCTAATACTGTCATGTGACAGCATGGTAGAGTCAAATATAAGAACAAGGTAGACCAGTCAGACTGTGGCAACTACCGCGGATCCCATTGCTGTCCGAAGCTGGCAAGATTGTGAGGCAACCCCACGATGGCATGAACGGCAGTGTCCTGCACAATGACACCCAGTCTGAGTTATTCCCCATCCAAACGGGGGTAAAACAAGGATGTGTACTGTCACCAACTCTCTTTTCCATTTTCTTGGCTGTCTTTCTTACTCGTGCCAGTACCAATTTAGCTGGCAGGGTGGACATCGGATACCGAATGAAGGGTCTTTTCAACAAAAGACGACTCCAGGCAGGAACAAAGGTGTCGGCAGCTTCCATTACTGAACTTCAGTATGCAGATGACCTCACCCTCGTCGCTCACACTAAACGCGACTTACAGGAGATCCTGAACACCTACGCAGATGTGCATGCGCACTTCGGCCTTGAGGTGAATGTATGTAAGACTCAGATTCTCTTTCAGTCTGTCCCTGATTCAGCCACACCTCCACCATCCTTCCAGCTTAACGGTACTACCCTCACTAATGTTACCCACTTTCAGTATCTCGGCTCCCACCTGTCCACCACCAAGGACATCAATGAAGAGATTCAACATCAAATCAGCTGTGCATCTCAAGCCTTTGGCGGACTCCGTACCTGTGTCTTCAGCTGTACTGTACCCGGAAAAATTCTGAAGATGTGCAATTTCTTTTGAGGATGAGAAAATTGATCTCCAAACTCAGAACTGCTCTGCACCAATTATTACGCCTAATGGGGATATCACTGTATACACAACAATAGTATACAGTACTAGGAAATTAATACAGTACAGATTCAATATTACATTACCTGATTTTGTTCTCTCCAAGGAGTTGTAGAAGTACTGATAAGTGGGGTCATGGAGGATGTGGTAGGTGGAACCAAGGAGGATGGAGTAGTTGAAGATGGAGTTGTGATGGATGAAGTCGCTGAAGGTGGAGCCATGGATGGAACAGTTGAAGGTGGAGCCAGGGAAGTTGGAGCAGTTGAAGGTGGAGCCAGGGAAGTTGGAGCAGTTGAAGGTGGAGTCGTAGAGGATGGAACACCACGTGCCTGGGTATTCCGAGGACCTCCACCACCCCCAATATTTGGGGTGGCACGGATTTTCATTCGCCTCATGTTGATCAAGGTCTGTAAATAAAACTCCTATTGTTATCTATATTTATTATTTAGTTTGGAAACTGAAAGAATTTCATTAAAGTAAATAATCTAAAGCCATTCTATATACACATCAGGAAACAACATTCCATTAGTGTCAACAGGGAGTTAATAGCTCTGGTTTGACAGGGAATCAAAAGGTCTGGCCTGAGCACAACTATTTTAAGATGAACATTCAGGGGCAGATAGGTGAATGCTCAACGTTTCTGTTTCAATCTGTGTGGCAGCTATTGTTGTTTACATTATGCCCAGCAGCTAGTTTTGTGCAATGCAATTTTTGGATATGCAGAATTCCTTTTACTATTTCTCCATGCATACTGTACTATAAACTATCCCAGGAAGTGATAGTACTGTACCTATCCCCAAAAAGACAAGGATATTCATCAGTTTGGGTAATCAGTACTATAGTACAGATACCAAGTTAAAAGTACATGTACAGGTACACTCCCCATACTCCTCCACCTCAGTCAAGCTAAGTAATTGATATTTGTAAATAATTTTTTTAATATTTTTAAAGTTACTTACAGCTTTAAAATGTGTAGAAAGTCTTTGTCCAAAAATGTGAATTATATAAAGAATTTTGTCAAAAATATTACCTGTACAGTACTTGAATTTACCTCTGAAGTGGCAACTAGGTCATTGCCTCTGCATGCTCTGGCAAATGAAAACCAAATACAGTATCACTGATCAATGTCTAACTTTAGCAGGAATGGACCACAGTTTGGCAGTGTTCAGAGGTTCATTCTGGCTATAAAATCAGACATAATGCAATGATGGTTTATTTTAATTTACTAGAATGCACAGAGGCTGTGACATAGTTAGCATTATTTTATCCTGGAAATTAGAAACAGTCTTGGTAAAGATTTCCTTTAAGCTTGCATCCTTCACTAATATCTAAACCCTTTCACCACAGAGGGGAAAACCAAATATTCTCAGCGGTTGCCACTGTTTCATCTAATTTTTTTTCTTCCTTTGTAGGTAAGACCATGAGCTATCCATGCATCATAATTATTTTCTTTGCACTCATATACTGTATAGGCTTAGGGGAAAAAAATTACGTTCACACTTTATGTATAAAAGAAAAACATGACCTGAGGACTTCATATACCGTACAGCCAAATACATGTATGTCAAAAGCATTGAACTCCCTCTTTCAAAAGCAATTTGAATACTGGGCAGTAAATAGACCTTCATTTCATTATGTGATTTCTTTTTACTCAAACTTCTGTAGAAAATGGACATGCAAAAAACAATGACAACAATTTATATACTTTCTTTGAAGAAATAATCACACATGACACTCAAACAACTTTACTTTACTAATAGATAGATACAGTATATGAAAAATGTTCATAACAATGTGAAAATTAGAGATACTGTACCGACAAATACAGTTATCTCCCCATTATTTGGAATCTTCAATTCCTGACACTTTCCATTGCCCAGAATTTTTTTTTATCATTCCAAGAATTTTTTTTTATCATTCCAAGAATTTTTTAGAAAAATCTCTCCATTCTGAGCATTCAAATGAATTTCCAAGAGATTGCATCATGCGCTGATTTGTGCTGAGCACGTGGGTGGGTAGGCTTGGATTGATCATGAGCTACACTTGGATACTAATCTCATGTGACTTTTTTTTTTACGGGAATTAGCCCACCCGGGCACAGGTCAAACGACCCACAATGGGGCCTATGATTGGCAGATGTATCCCGTAGTCTATTTCCTCACACTCTAGCATCATGACATGCTTAGTTCATTGTTTGCTGCCATTATACAAGCTTGTTCGCTCACTCACTGCCGTTTTTGCAAGTAGTGGGGGAGATAGTTAATACCAGAAAGATTATAGAATTGGTTTATCTTTTCCATAGATAATGTTACACTTGCCTGGTATCTTTTGCCAAGCAACTTTTAGGACAAACAATGCCTGAAACAAGTATCAACTACACCAACATCTTCCAAGTTAGTATTTGTGCAGACAACAATCAGCACTTACGATAATTCTGATACAACATTTAAGAAATTCAAAGAGAAAACAGGCAAAAACTGACCAGGCAAGTGTAATGAGTCAAGTTAGCAGAGAACAGTATATTAATCCTCAAACTGTGCTAAATCTAACATGAAAACGCTAAATCTGGTCAACCTAGTTCTCATATTTTTCCTTGGTTCAGATATGTACACCCAAAATAGATCTGATACAATAAATCATTTTAAATAATGCAAAAATATGCCGCAGAATGATAATTTTGGTTAATTAAATGAGGCAAGATAAAAAGTAAGGTAAAGAAGACAAAGAATACAGAAAATGCACGTGACAGTAAAGGTGTTCAGTTTATTTTACACAACAGTACTATGGTTTTAATGCAAGACAATAGGTACAATTTCACGATAGTGTACTATGGTTTTAGATGGAGTCATTAGTACACGAGTCAGATAGGGAAGGGATGGTAAATTTTTCTTGTAGCTCCGTTCACTTGTAGCAAGTTAAAAATATATTTTTCTAGTGTATTTGAGTGTGCTGAGACCGAATATGACCTTCCTTTTTGGCGGAAATTAGCCGTTTTTCAGGGATTTTTTTTTCGTTTGACGTTTTCCGAGAAAAAAAGGTGCCTAAGCGACTAACAAATACACAATAAAACACTAGAAAAACAATAACCAAACCTAACCTAACCTAACTTAACTGACTCTCACCATATGATGGAATCACCTATTTCTTACCTTATTGGCCTGGTTCTTGTTCGTTGTTGCATTCTGGGATTCTTACACAACGCCACATATGTTGGTCTTTGCGATATTTACTTTCAGTCTTGCTCTTAGTACACTTTACTGAGGTTGGAAGAACACCATGCAATCAAAAAAATGCTATAGCTTCTACGTTATTTTTTTTTTTAAACTCGCAATCAGCTCCATATACTTTAAGTGACATCCATCGCAGACTTCCATGGTCGGAACTGAACTTGAATTTCAAAATTTGAGAGACCCAAAATAAAATTCGATTTTGATTAGGCCAAATATACTCTGAATTAGCAAAAACGCTTTTGATTGGCCTCGTGACGTGTACGGGTACACATGCGCGTCATGATTTATGAAGGAGACGCGAGAGACACGCAGTGTTAGGTGAGAGGCAGACGATAATGGCGCGATGTTAATGGAAGAAAATAGAAAAAATTTTGGAAGAGCTATCTCCGTTATTATGCATTTCCGCCGGTAATGTAATAGATGAAAATTATCTTATAATTAGACGTCTTATTCGAATATGATAATACAACAGTGGTAGGAATGAACGGAGCTACAAGAAAATAATACCGAAGGGATTTAATGTAAAGTGTGCAAATACCACATGCATTATTTTACTGAAGTGTGCAAATAAATACTCACTCAAATTTTTTTTATTTGCTTTTATCCAACCATCTGGAAAAAAATAACCATTCTATAAGCTCTTTATCGTATTAACCATCTCCTCAACCCATAAATATACTGTATTTCTCACACTTCAAAATACCTTAGGTAAACTCTAGAATCTTTTATTCTATTGGTGGACATTACCTGAAGCTACACAAATTCAAGGTGCTTGGTATAATTCACGATTATCACTAACGAGATTCATTCACTACGATCACTCCCACTTTTACCTATGTTCTTTGATGAAAATCATGTCTGCAACACATAGTCCACTGAAAAGACGGATGACGGAAGGAGACGGTGGTGTTGTCGGTGCGCTGAGTCGTCGCTTATAACTAAACACAAAACAATAATAACATTTGATTCAAAGAAAATGGTTAGACGATGATACAATACTGTACATATGTAACGTAATTATAAATAACTGCGGTTAAATATATTAAATATAAATACAATGATAACTAAAGCATCTATAAATTTCATAAATTAAATGTTTTTAAGTTATATTTTATCTATAATAAAAACAATAATTTTAATAGAAAATGTGAAGAAGCAACAACAATTTCGTCAGCTTGTGAAATATCGTGGAAGGGGCTAATACACAGGTAAAATTTCCGCATTCGTCGGTCAGATTTTCAGACTGAAAACTGATATTTGATCAAAACGGAAAGTACGGAAGTTCTCGGACAAGTTTTGACTACGTTTCGAGTCCAACTTTACTCGTTAGCCGATTGGGCGGTCAGTCACGTCTCTGACGTGCGCTGCTACTGTTGGCAAGTACTGGGCATGTACTAGGTCCAGAATGTATTTGTACTTTTTTTTTACCTGTACCTTTACTTTTATTTTCTTCGCCACTCATCGGCTCGTTAGTCGCTTGGGCGGTCGGTCACGTCTCTTATTACACACCATTGGCACGTACATTCGTACAATACTGCTGGGCTGGTCTTGAATGAGCTTACACTTGGTGCTGTTGTAGTGGATTCCTCCCCTACAAACGCTTGTCGCTGATTAGCCGACCCCGCAAATTCCCCAGTGTATGCCTCGTGGTCTAGGTCAACCAGCGCCGCCTTACATGACGGAGGTCAACTATTAAGCCACGCCTACCTCCGCTATATAAAACCTGACCTCGTGGTGACCTACCACTCTCTTTCTACCTACACCAACCAGCAAGCAACACCTCCTCCACCTCCTGCCTAGCGGCCCTCGCTCCCGCCGGCGAGCATGGCGACCCAAAAGCTGGTCCTCCTCTGAACACCCTCACCAACCAGCTCTCTCTACATCACGCTTACATAAGAACATAAGAATGGAGGAAACTGCAGCGGGCCTATTGGCCCATACTGGGCAGTCCCGTTTACACCCAACCCCTAATGCTCATATAAGCATCCAACCTATGTTTGAAGCTATTCAGCGTATTCGAGCTTGTAACCACGCTGCCACTTCCCAGCACCAAGCTGCATTGTACATCCAATACAATATGTATACAGAGAGCACATTGTGAGTTTCCCTTCTCCATCCCATCCTGAGTGTGAACCAGTATCTCATAACCCCACAAATGGTGACCCCCGGAGATTCGCACTCACACAGGGTGGAGGAGACACCGATCACTCTCCCAGTCTTCACGCAACATGGAAGACTGGCTTATCCACACAGAGGCAGCTCTCATCGGCTCTACAGCTGCTGTCTCTACCCCGTAGGTTAGACATCCTAGAGCAGCACTGCTTCTCTAAGCAGACACCAGCTCCTCTTCCTGCCCCAAGCACCACGTTCTACCGACCCCAACACACCCGTCCTGCCTCAGACGCCGCCCCGCCCCTTTGCCGCTCCTCCTGACGCGGACCCACACACCCCTCTTTTCTCCCTCAGGTACCCCCTGCTTCTGTCGTGGACCCAGCTGCTGTCACGGACTCTCCTCCGCTCCTGCTGACGCAGCCCCTGCTCCTGACCCAGGCCCACACACCCCAGCAGGCGCATCTGACGACTCTGTACCTGCCGTGAGGGAAGCACAGCATTCATCGCCTCCACACACCCTTTTTCTCTCTCTCTACTCCCACAGATATTGTGTATCTAGACAGTTGCCTCCACTAGCGGCCGGCTCATCCACGCCCTCGCCGTTATGTCTCACATGTGGCATGCACCGCCCGTTCTGCCTCACATGTGCCATGCAACCCTGCAGACAACAAGTCTCCTACACCGCCTGGAGGGAAGGAGGGAGTATTGTAGTGGATTTCTCCCCTACAAACGCTTGTCGCTGAGTAGCCGACCCCGCGAATTCCCCAGTGTATGCCTCGTGGTCTAGGTCAACCATCGCCGCCTTACATAACGGAGGTCAACTATTAAGCCACGCCTACCTCCGCTATATAAGACCTGACCTCATGGTGACCTACCTCTCTCTTTCGACCTACACCAACCAACAAGCAACACCTCCTCCGCCTGCCTGGCGGCCCTCGCTCCCGCTGGCGAGCATGGCGACCCACAAGCTGGTCCTCCTCTGAGCACCCTCACCAACCAACTCTCTCTACTTAACGCTTGTAACCATGCTGCCTTCCCAGCACCAAGCTGCATTGTACATCCAATAAAACATGTATACGGAGAGCACATTGTGAGTTTCCTTTCTCCATCCCATCCTGAGTGTGAACCCAAATATCACGTACCCCACACTGTCACAACACTCTTACAGATTATTCCAAGAATTCACAACTGGCGGCTCCCACTTCCGCCGGCGACCTCGGCGTCCCTCAAGCCGCGTGCTCCTCTGGGCACCCTCACCAACCAGCTCTCTCCTACTCAACGCTTGTTACCATGCTGCTTACCCAGCAACAAGCTGCATTGTACATCCAATACAATATGTATACAGTGAGCACATTGTGAGTTTCCTTTCTCCATCCCATCCTGAGTGTGAACCAATATCTCATAACCCCATACTCTCACCCCGAAAATGTTTGCCCTGACAATTTTCCGAACTTCAGGCTACTTCCACCTTGAGCTGTGACTCAGTGGGGCGGGCCTCCGCAATTGCATTCGTTCTAATCTCTCCGGATAACTGAGGTGCCGTAGCGCAGGCACCAATCCAAGGGCGGATCCAGGAGGGTCCGGACCCCCCTTATCATCAGAAAATTCCAATACTTTTTCATTAATGCAATATTGTACTCAGGTATTTTTATATAGTAAAAAGTAATTTCTAGTGAACTCAGAATATCTCCTAATATCAGGTGCACATGGATTCAAAATGCCCAAGATTATATTATATATATATATATATATATATATATATATATATATATATATATATATATATATATATATATATATATATATATAATCCCGGGGGCTTACAGCGACCCCCAAAACCCCTCTACCCAGCTGGGTGGGCTCACTGTGCTCGCCATGTTCCCTCGTCCACAACTTCTTGGACCCTCCCCCCTTTTGCTCTCCCTGGATTCGCCCCTGCAATCTGGTGGCCACCCTAGAATTTCACTCACATTTCCAATTAACTGGTAGTCTCTAGCATACTTCGGTAAAATATGGCATTAATTTTTTAATTCTACCTAAACAGTTAATATCCCTATTAACTTAATTTGTTCTTTCCCATTTACTTTTCCCCATGTCGTTCTTTACTTTTACTTTTATCTTCTTCGCCACTGATCGGCTCGCTAGCCGCCCGGGCGATCGGTCACGTCTCTGTCATGCACTGTTGGCAAATACTGGGCATGCACCGGCTCCTGAATGTACCTGAACCCGCTCCAGTGTTGGTCAAGTCTTGTCTTGAAAGAGCTCACACTCGGTGCCGTCACAACACTCTCTGGTAGATTGTTCCAAGCGTTTACAACCCTCACTCCGAAAAAGTTTGCCCTCACAGTTTTTTGGACTTGCGGCTTCTTCAATCTTGAGCTGTGACCCCTTGTGGGGCGAGCGTCCGCCAGCTCCAAGTAAGGACACTCAACTGAGTAGTGCCCTCTGAGATGCTTATGCACCTCAACTAGGTCACCCCTTGCCCGTCTGTAGTATAAGGTAGGCAAGTTCAGGCGCTCCAATCTCTCAGGGTAGCTGAGGTGCCGAAGTGCAGGCACCAGTCTGGTGGCCCTCCTTTGAACATTTTCAACCAACTGGGACCAGATGGGGGAAGCACTTCTCTCCTGAAGATCGTCACGAGGGACGGACCGTCTAGATATCTGAACGACCTTCTTATAAGACCCAATAATTTATTTGCCTGATTTACTTTCCTCTCGCAATGGCCCGAGAACTTCAGCTCATTGTCAACACACCTAGGTCCTTCTCACATAGTCTCAACTAGTGCAGCTCCATCATCCCGTTGGGACATATGATACGCCTCCTTACCGTTGGTACGCCCCAGGTGCATCCTCTTACACTTCGTGACATTGAATCTCAGCAGCCATTTCTTCGACCATTCTTGGAGCCCACAGAGGTCCTTCTGCAGCTCTTCACAGTCCGCTTGTTTCTTAATTTCCCGAAATAACTTGGCGTCTATTTGTTCTACTTCTTTTATTCGTCTTTGTTTTTATTTTCCTTGTAGAATTACGCAAATGGGTAAGGTGGCAATAATTAATGTTCTATCCCAAAATAATGGCTGCCATTATTTTGAGTTGTGACAGTTCTTTCACTCGGGTTTGGAAATACTGTAATTAATAGTTATATTAAAATTCGTGCTCCTCTAGTAAACTTCTCGAATTATATTTTAAAACTCATGGCGCTATAAGTTGTTACTTGAAAAGCTTGTAAGCTGACAAGGGGAGAAGATGATAGAAAATTATACTAATTTGACAGTTCATATCACCCGCCAGTTGGAAATAATTAAATCATCTATATTCAAATTCGCGCTCTTTCCGTAAAAGCAATTAAGGTTCGTTATAGGATACCAACTCTATATTGGTTGTCTTCAACACTCTAACTTATCCTTTCTTGATGCTCTTCTCTTAGTAATCCTCTGTCGTCTGCTATCAGGAAACTGCCATTGAGAGATCTAATGATTGCAGACTGTTGTGTCAGATAAACTTGTTGGATACATGATAATATCCAGTTGTCAGGAGAGACTGTGACTATGGATATAAAAGCTCTAAGTTATACCTAATGAAGGGTAAGCATGAAGGTTACTAGAGGGCATTAGGGGCACCAGCAAGCGTCAACAACCCTGGGAAAAATTGAACCAATGGCCGTCTTTGTTGTTTTCAGGCGTCTGTAACCACTGATGAAGATGTGAAACTTTCTCAATATAAAACTAAAGAAAATAAGTTGAAACAAGCATAGGAAGTACTTTAGAAAAGATAATCGCAAAGGGCATTACAGCGCATAATTACCGTTGAAAATATTGAAGTAATGATCGTCTTTGTTTTCGTTTTCAGGCATCTGTGATGAAGAATTTGCGCTGAGAAATATAAAACTTGAAAATAAACTGAAACAGAGAGAAGAATAAAGAATTTAAAGAAAAAAAAAGAGAAAGTGACACAGCACACGTCAACTTTGTAGTATATTAGTTAAGGGAGAGAACAAATGGTAAAAAGCCAGCCAGTTGAAGTAGCCAGCACAGGGCAGTCAAGACTCCTGGTGTATCGTGATTACTTTTAAGTTTTCTCCTTTTAATGTTATTTTACAAATATTTTGTGTTGTCATATAAAACCTCCTACATGGTGCTTAAATAACATATCAAGAGTTCTCGTTTTACTGCTGGAAACACATTTGTTGAAGTACCACTGTTTATTAGTAGAATGACTGCCAGAAACAAAGTGAACTAATCGTTACTGTATTATAACCAATTACAGACTATATTCACATAATGACCATAATGTTGATGGTAATACAAAGGTTATGAGGTCATCCCATATCATGTTATCCCCTAGAAGACACGACAGCAAGCTATTCTTGAGTTCACATTGACAGTAAAGGTAAGAATTAAGTTGACATTGTGTGCGTTTGTAGTGCAGTACAGAGTGCCTATTGAGTCAATACCTTGATTATTTTATGTAACAGCTTGTGTGGCTAGATACACTGGCTAAGTTTTATGTTTTTATATTTTTACCCAGTACTAGTTTTCTAGTTCCCTGTCTTATTCTGCCTAACAGTTTTTATCTTATTTTTAGAAAAAAATAAAGATTACTGAAGACATTAGGTGAGTTAAATAATAAAGGTATTATTTTATTTTCGAACAACCATGGAATTAAAGGAATTTTATCTTTGCAATCAATAATTTAGACAATTCTAAGACACTTTTCTTTTATGATGTTTCCCTCACAAACGATTTATATATGCTGGGGGATCCTGGAGGGGTGGAGCCCCCTGATTAGGAGGTTAGGTTAAATTGGGTAATTTTTAGGTCATTTGCGAGGGAAACTTCATAGAAAAAGTATCTAAGAATTATCCAAGCTATTGAGGTACAGGTATTATCGTTTTGGTCATCTGGGGAATCTTAGGGGGGTAAAGCCCACCGGTTAGGTTAGGTTAAGTTACGTTACATTAGGTCAGATTGGTTAGGTTAAGTTTCATAAGGTAAGGTTGGTTAAAAAAAAAAATAAGTTTTCATGCTGAATACAATGGTGATATTGAAAATTTTTGAAAATTTATAGTGATTAAGTTATGATCCTACTCTGTCAATCTTGACTTAACCAAAGGTGGGCAGGGCTTTGAAGCAGAGGGAAAATGTAGGGTTAAAAACATAACTAAAAGAATCTAGTCTAACAATATCTGGTCACTGTACTTTTATCACCATATTCAGCAAAGAAACTGAACTAGAAAATCATTGTCCGAGTTTTGGATACGTAGGCCGGTGTTTGCGGAGAAATAGCCTTGCATTATTATACAGTAGCTATCTGTAACCGAAAACCACAAATGGGACATTGCCAATTTAACTTGAGCATCATAAACAGAACATAAATCTTGTGAAAGCTCTTCCTTTGTAGTAAATACTTTGATACAATAGTCCTCGAATAGAACTGTCAAACAGCCATTTTTCAGATCATATACAGTACAGTGTACTTTATACTTACTTTATCCTCTTCACCACTGATAGGCCTGTTAGCCACTTGGGTGGTCCCTCACATGTCTTGTTATACACTGTTAGCAAATACTGTACTGAGCATGTACTGGCTCCAGAGTGAATCCCAGAGTGCTGAGGGAGTTGTGCAACGAGCTAGCTGAACCCCTGAACATAAGAACATAAGAATGGAGGAAACTGCAGCGTGCCTATTGGCCCATACTGGGCAGTCCCATTTACATTCAACCTGGATGAACAAAAAGCCCCCAGTGATTGGAAAATGGCTTATGTGAGTCCTATCTTCAAGAAGGGCGATCGTTACTCCAGGAATAACTATAGACCAGTGAGCCTAACAAGCATAATTTGTAAAGTACTTGAGAGCATTATAAGAGATGCCATGATGGAACATCTACAACTAAACAACCTTGTAAGCGATTGCCAACACGGTTTTATGCTGGGGCACTCCTGCTTGACACATTTACTCAGGGTAATGGATATTTGGACCCAAATTCTAGATCATGGTGGTAATATTGACAATATTTACCTAGATTTTGCCAAGGTTTTTGAGAGTGTACCCCATGAAAGGCTGAAAATTAAACTGGAAGGGTACGGGATTCGGGGAAATGTCCTGGCGTGGGTACGAAATCATCATCTGTATCCGTAACAAGAGGGGTACCACAGGGCATTGTATTGGGCCCGTTGCTGTTTGTTTGCTTCATAAATGACCTGCCTGAAGCTGTACATTCCTCCAGACAAATGTTTGCGGACGAAGCCAAGTGAAGAGCTGCAGAAGGATCTCTGTGAGCTTCAGGAATGGTCGAAGAAATGGCTGCTGAGAATCAGTGTCACAAAGTGTAAGAAGATGCACCTGGGGCGTACCAACGGTAAGGAAGCGTATCATATGTCCCAACAGGACGAAGAGACTGCATTAAATGAGACAGAATGTGAAAAGGACCTAGGTGTGTACGTTGACAATGAACTGAAGTTCTTGGGCCATTGTGAGAAGAAAGTAAACCAGGCAACTAAGTTATTAGGTCTTATAAGAAGGTTGTTCAGATATCTAGATGGTAAGTCCCTCGTAATGATCTTCAAGAGTGTAGCGCTTCCCCGCTTGGGGTACTGTCATCCCGTCTGGTCCCTGAGATATGCTAGGGGCTGTCAGCTGATTGAAAATATCCAAAGGAGGGCCACCAGATTGGTGCCTGCACTGCGGCACCTCAGCTACTCGGAGAGATTGGAGCACCTGAACTTGCCCAGCTTGTACTACAGACAGGCAAGGGGAGATCTGATTGAGGTGTACAAGCATCTCAGAGGGCACTACTCAGTCGAGTATCCTTACCTGGAGCTGGTGGACGCTCGCCCCACAAGGGGACACAGGTCAAGGTTAAAGAAGCCGCAAGTCCGGATAACTGTGAGGGGTAACTTTTTCGGAGTGAGAGTTGTGAACTCTTGGAACAATCTGCCAGAGGGTGTGGTGATGGCACCGAGTGTGAGCTCTTTCAAGACCAGACTTGACCAACACTGGGTAGGAAAGTGAAAATGGATATTATAATACTTTATAGTTAAGTAATCCCAACTTCTAAATGCCAGTGAATATATTACTGTAGTTAATAATTTAATCAATAGAATGACCAATGTAAATAGAGACATATTATCCATAAATGTAGGAATTTATAGAAGTTCACCTTCTGTGACATCATTCAAATTATAATGTTAAATCTCTTTCTAAGATCTTTTTTCAATATCTTTACTTGATTAAACACATTCTCCACCTCAGCCTTTGTCACTGGCAAACACAGAATACAAAGAAATGCTTACACTAGTTCTTTGGAATAGTAAATCCCAGCACTGTCTTGATGATACACTGTGTTTGTGTCTGTGTGTCCAGTATGCTGTAGTGTCACTCATTGCCGGGTTAGCCTGGCGAACTTTGCTCGCGACCTGGGTTGCGATGCATTTTGCCAAGCCTGACATTAGTCAGTCAGTGTTATTGTCACACAGTTACTAAATTTTGGGAGTCTGGTCTGGTCCTTTTATACAGATGATCCTGTGAGATGAGACATGACCAAGGCAACTTTTAGTTGAGTAGGTGGAAAGGAGGACTGGGGGAGGGTCAGAGGAAATGATTGAGGTAGAGATTACCAACAGGTCACATTGAAATTAACCCTGGCACATGTTAGGGGTGAAGGGGGGGGGGGTGGTTATGGTACAAGAAAATAGGGAGATACAACAAAAAAGGAATTATGGGACGAGAAGTTTTTACTATTCGTAGAAAAGGAGAGAAGGGCATATGAGTGAGAATTGCAAGAGGGAATGATAAGATAATAGAGGAGTACTGTACTGTACAGGGAGATGAGAGTAAATAGAAAGGTAAAAGAATGTAAAAGAAAGGCAGAGGAATGAAGGGGAAAAGGTTGTCACAAGGTTTTAAAGAGAAAATGAAGTTGCTGTGGCAGTTAGATAGGATGCTAAAACCTAGAGAAAAATGGAAATTGCAGTTCAGAATCAAAGAAGAGTTTTAGTGCAGGTAAGTAAGAGGGAGAAGGGAAGAAAATTGTGATCAGCCACTAAATGTTAGAACTAGAAAATATGTAATTATCCCATTCAGGAAATGGCAAATTGAATACCTACCTGTAGTGTCAAAATAAAAGAGGAGATAATAGTAAGGGAGAAAGATATGAAAGTGACTGTAAGTACTGTACAGTAGTACAGTACTATATGCTCAGGAATGGTAAGGCAGCACCACGAGTATATGGAATCACAGTTAATGGGAACTAGAGTACAGTACTGCACTAGATGAAATAAATGACAAGAATACAGTGAACCCTCACTTTACGCGGTTAATTCAACCCACGGCGGCCCGCGTAAAGTGAGAAACGCGTAAAGTGAACAACATAACATATGGAATTAATTGAAATAGAGACCGGGCCGACCCCCAAACTCCACTTTTTCCCGACACAATACGTACGTTTTACTAAAAATAACCTCTTAACTTTATGATCGGTATTCACCCACACATAATATAGAAGGGAACAGTCAATAAGAGAAGAATAAACTGAAGGTTAGGTTAGAAAAAAACAAGGTTGGGGTTAACACTTATGTTAGTAGAAGAGATGGGTCGGCGTAGGGGAATGGAGGCTGGTTCCGAGGCAGAGGGCAGGCTACTGGCCCTCAGGTGAGTCTTCATCGGTGTCATCCACACTTACTAGTGTCTCCCTGACAAATCCCTCAAAGTTATCATCACTGTCTCTACCTCTGTCACTATCACTGGCTTGGGCTGGCTGTGGTGGGTTGCGGGCGAAGAACTCTGTTATGCTTTGCTGACGGCTGGTGTTTATGTTGTCATGATAAACCTTGATGTAGGGCTCCATAGTCTGCAACAGCTGGGTAGTGAAGATTTCATACCTGTTTGCGTCAGGGTCGTCGGAAAGGAGGAGCTTGACTTTCTCGATACACTCGATGGCACCCCTAACATTACTATGGGATAAGCGGCGTTCTTCTTGGGATGACGCACCACCTGCCTCTTCACTGACGTCATCATCATCTACCATCTCGTCGATAGTCACATCAGGATCCCTTATCACCTCCAGGATGTCGTCGTTGGTGGTCTCGGAGAAGCCTGCAGCTGTAACACTCTGTGCAGCTTCTCTGGCAAGGTCCACTGCTACTGCAACAGTCTGAACCTCACCAGTCACAGATTTACTCTGCCTAACACCCGGAATGCCTTGCAGCACATGTCTCCATGCGTGACGAACAGTTGCTACAGACAGCTGATCCCATGCCTCCACCAAGAAGTCCACAGCTTTCTTGACGTTGAATGTTCTCCAGAATTGTTTTAAAAGTACTTGTTGCTCTGCCAACTGTTGATCCTCGTCGTCTTCGCTCTTGCTATCGGTGTTGGTGTCACTCAGGTTA